TTCTGTCCCCACTTGCCCATGCCTCTAACCTAGACAAAGATGACTTTTAGTCTGATTTCTTTTGCTTTAAAAAGGAAGCTTCAAATCTCTTTAGGACTGGGACTTTCATTAAAAAAGGGGCTGTTTGTGCCATAAGCATCCCCTGAGAAGGAAACCATTATCCTTAATGACCTAGCTGTGATTTTAAAGGTCCAAGCCAGCCTGAGTGTCTTCCTCTCAAAAGAACAGGGCAAACACTTGTTTAATGCCTTTTGGAAACTATAAAGATCGGGGCTCCCTGAAGTAAGCAGTCTAAGCAGGGACTGTCTTTTGTGTATAATACCTAGTGCAGTGGGGTCCTGGTCCATGACTAGGGCTCCTAGGCGCGAATAAGAAGAATGTTTACAATTATAAAAAGGAGTTTGTATTTTGTCTTGCAGCGATACTTCTCAGGCCAGTGATGGGCAGCCTGCGGGCCACATGCGGCCCGTTGGGGTAATTCACTGGAGGGCCGCGAGACAGTTTGTTTACAATGACCGTCTGCAGGCACGGCCGTCTGCAGGCACGGCCACCCGCAGCTCCCATTGGCTGGGAATGGCGAACCGTGGCCACTGGGAGCTGCAGGCGGCCGTGCCTGCAGACTGTTGATGTAAACAAACGGTCTTGCAGCCCACCAGTGGATTACCCTGATGGGCTGCAGGTTGCGCACCACTGACTTAGGTTTGTGATCTCAAGTTAATGAGCACTGGTCAGTACCTCAAATGGAGCCTATTAAAGGCAGGGGTAGGGTTCTGTGGGAGAAGGTGGAGATAATTCGGGACATAGCAGACTTTTCTCCATCAGCACTGAATCAGTATCCCATTGTCACATTAGAGAGCTATGCTAGAGATGATGCGTAACATTTTCAAAAGCACCTAAGTACCAAAGTCTCTTTTGAAAATGGGACTTAGTCTCCTAGATGCTTTGGAAAATAAGTCACTTAAGTCCCTCTTTCAAAGAAGACTTAAGTGCTTTGGAAAATGTTACCTGTGATCTTTTACTACTTCTCCCCCCAGTTATTAGGTATCATTGCCAAGTTTCTCTTTAGGCGGTAATGTTGTACTCTCTCTCAGGGTCTGATTCAGTAGTTCTCAACCTGTTTACCATTGTGGGCTGCATATACAGCTCTTTGTGTTATGTGGGCCACATCCACGCAATATATATGCCACCCTACCTGCTGTGGCTGCCCAATTGGGCACATTTTCCTCGACACCTGCTCCCAGACAGTAAGGGGCAGTGTTAATCCCACCCACCGAGCCATGGGGGATCATAGCTGGAAGCCACAATGGGACAAATTTCCACCCCGCACCAGCTCTCCCACCGGAGACAGGACCTGCAGGGCAGCCTCCAGCTCTGGCTGTGAGCTCTGGGTCTGGACATGGCCAGCAGGGGCTGGGCAGGTGGGCACTGTCTGCTGCAGGCAGTCCAGGGTGCACTGCAGCCTGGAACATGCTCATCCTGCCCCCAGAGGTGACACACAGCTGTGGCTAGTGCGGGGGCACTTGCCACCCCCCCATTTCTATGGATGCCTTTGGCACGGATGCCCAGAAGCGAGGAGACAGCTCTCTCACTGGCAGTGGCGCTCAGTCATCCCCTTTTCTTCTCTCTGCCCCATCCTCTTATCCCCTTCCTCTTCCCACCCCACCCACCTTTCTCTCCCCATTGTCCCTTTCCCCCGTCCCACTCTCCAATCCCCATCTCTTTTCCCCCTGCCCCATCCCCTCTCCCTTCCTCTCCCCCCTGTCCCACTCTTCCATCGCCTATCCCCTTCTCTTCCCCCTGCCCCATCTGGCTGTATTTCAAGGAATCCCTGTTGAGGTTACAGGGACAAACCATCCCGATGTGTCGAAAGAATAGTAAATATGGCAGGCGACCAGCTTGGCTTAACGGTGAAATCCTAGCGGATCTTAAAATAAAAAAGAAGCTTACAAGAAGTGGAAGGTTGGACATATGACCAGGGAAGAGTATAAAAATATTGCTCGGGCATGTAGGAATGAAATCAGGAGGGCCAAATCGCACCTGGAGCTGCAGCTAGCAAGAGATGTCAAGAGTAACAAGAAGGGTTTCTTCAGGTATGTTGGCAACAAGAAGAAAACCAAGGAAAGTGTGGGCCCCTTACTGAATGAGGGAGGCAACCTAGTGACAGAGGATGTGGGAAAAGCTAATGTACTCAGTGCTTTTTTTGCCTCTGTCTTCACGAACAAGGTCAGCTCCCAGACTGCTGCGCTGGGCATCACAACATGGGAAATAGATGGCCAGCCCTCTGTGGAGAAAGAGGTGGTTAGGGACTATTTAGAAAAGCTGGACGTGTACAAGTCCATGGGGCTGGACGAGTTGCATCCGAGAGTGCTAAAGGAATTGGTGGCTGTGATTGCAGAGCCATTGGCCATTATCTTTGAAAACTCGTGGCGAACGGGGGAAGTTGCGGATGACTGGAAAAAGGCTAATGTAGTGCCAATCTTTAAAAAAGGGAAGAAGGAGGATCCTGGGAACTACAGGCCAGTCAGCCTCACCTCAGTCCCCGGAAAAATCATGGAGCAGGTCCTCAAAGAATGAATCCTGAAGCACTTAGGTTGGATATTAGGAAAAACTTTTTCACTAGGAGGGTGGTGAAACACTGGAATGCGTTACCTAGGGAGGTGGTAGAATCTCCTTCCTTAGAAGTTTTTAAGGTCAGGCTTGACAAAGCCCTGGCTGGGATGATTTAATTGGGGATTGGTCCTGCTTTGAGCAGGGGGTTGGACTAGATGACCTCCTGAGGTCCCTTCCAACCCTGATATTCTATGATCTCCTTCTTTTCCCCCTGCCCCATCCCCTCTCTCTTCCTCTCCCCACTGTCCCACTCTTCCATCACCTATCCCCTTCTCTTCCCCCTGCCCCATCCCCTTCCTCTTCCCTCCCCATCCTCTTTCCTCTCTCCTCTGTCCCCTGCCCTGTCCCACTCCCCCATCCCTTTCTTTTCCCCCTGCCCCATCCCCTCTCTCTTCCTCTCCATACTGTCCCCTGCCCCTGTCCCACTCCCTCCTGCCCCATTCCCTTCTCTTCCCCCTGCCCTATCCCATCCTTCTTCCTTCCCCACTACCTTGCCCTGACCCCGCATAGGCGCTCACTATTGTACAGAAACAGGACCCGGCACACGTAGAAGAGGACAATGACAGGCACCAGGACGCAGGAGGCAGCATCCCAGAGCTGCCAGCCTCCACCAGGGAGAGGCGCAGAGTGAGCTGGCACAGTGTGGGAAGGACAGAACCTGTGCCTCTCACCGCCCACCCCGACAGGCTGAGCAGAGCAAGTCCTGCTCAGCACCCCCTATTTCTGCGAGAGGTGGTGGGGGCAATGCCTCCCTAAACTACGCCTATGGCTGGCATGGGTTGATGGCCCGGTGCCTTCCCCCACACGTGGTAACTGGGCACCTGGCAACCCTACCATTTGTCCTGGGGAGGGAAGAAGCATCAGGCTGCCACCAGAGCTGCTCCCCTGCCATAGAGAGCTGCTTTGCCTTCCCTGATGGCATTAGCGCTCCAGCAGGGCTCCATGATGCCATCTACCCCTCAGCTGGCCCTGCCCTCTGCTGGGACCGGCAAACTTTGAATTTTTTTTACCACACAGCTGGGTCTGGGCTGCAAGTGGCCCGTGAGTTGAGAACCACTGGTCTGATCCAATGGCCGTTGAAGTGATTGGGAGGATTTCCATTGACTACAGTGGGCACTAGCAGGCCCTGTGTGCTCTCTGAAATTTTATTTGATACTAAATTCTCTGCCTTTCTAAAGCCGTAATGTTGCGGTGTATTAGCTCAGAGGTGGCTGCTTTTTGGTAATAGGTGAAGCGTCCCTCTTGTGTAAGCAGTATGGTTTGGGAGACTATCTGCTCCTAATCTTAACTATGAAGTTTGCTTAGATACCGTAATAGGTGCCTTATAAGTGCATGTAATTTAAATGAGTGTTTGTAAATTCATTTGGGATGAGGTGCTGTATAAATATGACACATTTTATTATTGGTAATTACTAGGTATATTTAGTAGCTAACTGAAAACGTGTTTCATTAAGTGCCAGGCATATTTTAATTGTGGATAAAAAGCCCAGTTCTGAAGCCAGACTTCACTTTGATGATAAAAGGATGAAACTTACTTTTTGTAAAGCTTACTTGTTGATAAATTTGGCAGTTAACAAAACTTCAGTCTTCTTAACTGACTTCTGGGTTCCAGCGCCCAATAGTCAGGCTGTCTTGGAACTACATCTGTTGTCTCTGAGGCTCGTTTGACTTAGAGGGTTGCGGCTGTGCAATGCTGGACTAGTCCCTAATTCTTTTTATTTAAAAAAAACAAAACAAAACAAAAAAAAACCCCACTGATATCTTTAGTTATGCTATGGTATTTCAGTAATTTATTTTAACACACGGTTGATAGGCATCAGTTTTATCCTCACTCCATTCCCTGGACAACTACAGGTTTTGCTTTAAAAAAATTTACCACACCTCACTCTCCAAAACAAGTTTTCTCTTTCCGTTGTTTTAAACAGTGGTTAAAATCTCAGTTTCTGATCTGGGGAAAAAACAGCAAATAATTCCAAATGGCAGGGAAAGTTAAGCTGGCATGAATTTATGTGCACATGAAGCCCAGGGCTGTGCTCATGTGCAATTTCATTCTACCCAGCATTTAGACAATTAGGGTTCCCCTGCCAAGGGGCAGGGAGACTCTCAACCCTACAAATCAATGGTTGAAACAATTAATGTCTTTCATTATCAGTGGGACACTGTAAAAACACAAACTGTAACTTTTAAGAGGTCAGATTTTCAGTGTTTGACAGAGTTCCTTTTAAACCATATTTGTTTTGCAGTAGTTTCATCACTTGAAGTGAAATCTAATCAAATGCTAATCAACCTTGTTAAGGTAATAGAATAGCATTGAGATCATGACACCTATGTACGTGGAACTAATTATTTTCCTCTCTCTCTTCCCTCCTCCTCCTTCCATTCCCCCATAGAGTTTCTCATCATACTATAAAGGAGGATTTGAACAGAAAATGAGTAGACGAGAAGCTAGTCTTATTTTAGGCATAAGGTAGGTGTGCTGCATTAATACTGTTTTTGTTTTATCACCAAACTGAATGAAGAAATGTAAGGTGAAAGAATAGGGCTATATGGTGCTCACAGTTGTAACTTGTTAACAAAAATTGTGTTCCATATGCCATTCTAAGGTTGTATTTTGGTTGGGAAAAAAAACATACAATAAAATGGGCAGCCACGCAACTTTTGTCATACCTTCAGGCCACTTACAGCAGTAGAGGACAAATGCTGTAAATATAAATCAAAACAACACATACTATGCTGATCAACATGATCATCTACTCTGATCTCACTAAAAATCAAGATTTACAATACTGTGGATTGTATTAATGCATCAGTAATGCAGAAAGCAATTCCATTGAGTCTGTCATTTCAAATGTATGTGTAATCTCTCTTCACATCTTTTTTATTGTGGTTAAAGGAATTGAGGATGCTATACAACGTATTAGGATGAATTTAAGGGTGAGCGTAGGCATGTGTAACTTAAGGATAAAACACATTACAGGGATATTGTGATTATCCCCAATACCAAGCATTACAAACCCAGGCAATTAAGAGTTAAGGTTACACTTAAACATGTTTGGATTTCTTTTAACATATGGAAATGGATAACTGAGGCACCCAAACCACCTTTATTCTTCCCTATAGCAACTCCAGGAAGGCAGGAAAGGGTAGGGCGAGTCCTGAAAGTCTTTAAAAACAGTTTAGCATTTGTGGCCCCAGATAAGATTAGATTAAAATGTTTTCATCATAATTGCATGATTATTGCAGGAAGTCTCTATAGGCCAGAGTTAAGATTGTTTGGTTGCCTTAACTGTGCAGTTCAAACATGTTAACATGTCTGGATTTTTGTTTGTGTAACCTTAACATTAATTAGACTTTAATTACAGGAATGTTGTAACGATGCCATATCTAACCCTTATTAATCCAGGCGATTGAGAGTTAAGGTTACATTTAAAGTTAATTACAACATTCCCGTGTCTTTAACTGATATGTCCCAAAATTATGTCCTCCTTGATATATTTTTTGTCTTGCAATTTCCTTAGGTTTTGAAAATATATATTTCATACATGCACACTAAACAAGAAATCCAAAGAGAATGGTACCACGTGGTATTTTGGATAACTTAAAGATATGCGTTAGCAACCTTAAATCACTTATTAAAATTAAACTTATGGGTAGATTCACTGGTACACCAGAGTAGTGCATTGCAGTTAGAGCTTACTGGTCCATTTAGATGGCTTTAAAGTTGGTTTGCTTTGACAGAACAGTTCATAGCCGTCGATGTACTGGTGATTCTGGACCTTAATTCGCAGTTGAATTATTGTTTCAGAGGTCTGTGTTAGAGAACTGGTGCTATGTAAAGGAGGGATGGGAGATCCCAACCCCATAATTCCAATGTCCATGCACTTTAAAGGTATCCCTTATGCTCTGTTTCAGTTTCCCCAGTTAGTACTATCTTAGTGTGTAGTGGAGAAAAGGCAAGAATGCCATCCCGTGGGGAGCCTTTTAAAGTACTGATGCCCCAGCCAGTATGTGGTCAGAGAACCTTTACTTGCCCCAATTGTCACTTTTCTCCTTAATCTGCCAACAAGAATTTTGAATTAGGGCTGTCAATGAATTGCAGTTAATTCTCGCGATTAACTAAAAAAAAATTAATCACAGTTTTAATCGCACTGTTAAACAGTAGAATACCAATTGAAATTTATCACCTTTTTTTATGTTTTTCTACATTTTTAAATATATTGATTTCATTTGCAATACAGTATACAAAGTAGACAGTGCTCACTTTATATTTTTTTATCACAAATATTTGGCACTGTAAAAATGGCAAACAAAAGAAATAGTATTTTTCAGTTCACCTCATACAAGTACTGTAGTGCAATCTCTTTATGGTGAAAGTGCAACTTACAAATGTAGATATTTTTGTTATGTAACTGCACTCAAAAACAAAACTATGTAAAAGTGATAACTGGCGTTTGCATGGCACTATTGTAGCCAGTATTGCAAGGTATTTACGTGCAATATGCTAAACATTCATATGTCCCTTCATGCTTCGGCCACCATTCCAGAGGACGTACTTCCATGCTGATGATGCTCATTAAAAAAAGAATGCATGAATTAAATTTGTGGTTGAACTCCTTTGGGAAGAATCATATGTCTCCTACTCTGCGATATATTCCATGTTATAATGGTCTTGGATGATGACCCAGCACATGTTGTTCCTTTTAAGAATACTTTCACTGCAGATTTGACAAAATGCAAAGAAGGTACCAATGTGAGATTTCTAAAAATAGCTACGTCACTCGACCCAAGGTTTAAGAATCTGAAGTGCATTCCAAAATCTGAGAGGGATGAGGTCTTCAGAAGTCTTAAAAGAGCAACACTCCAATGCAGAAACTACAGAACCTGAACCACCAAAAAGAAAATCAACCTTCTGCTGATGGCATCTAACTCAGATGATGAAAATGAATATCCGCACTGCTTTGGATAGTTATTGAGCAGAACCCGTCATCAGCATGGACGCATATCCTCTGGAATGGTGGTTGAAGCAAGAAGGGACATATTACTCCTGGGGGAATTCTGCGCCAATTCATATCATCTGCAGATTTCTTTGCTTCCCCACAGATAAATGACTTTCCGACAGGGAAGCTGCAAGAGCAGTCATGCACCACTCTCTAGCAGCACAGGTACATTGTTTCAGGCACCCAGAGCAGCCAGCAGAGAGGTTAATCACCACAGGGTTGGGGACACCCCTGCCAGTGGCTCCTACCTGAGCCGGGATCAGCTACTAGTCCTGTCTGGGCGGGAGGCAGGAGAGGATAGGAGTTCCTCTTCCCCTGCAAGGAGTGGGTGGGGCTGTGTCAGACCCATGCTCAGAAACCTCACCTAGCTGCATGAAGCTCAGCATCCTCCCCTGCTTCCTACCCTCATCCCTCCCCATACAAGGGGAGGGGTCATTGTACAGGGATCTGCTCCCCCTATCCACTCAACCCCCGTGCTTCCAGACCTCCTATACCCAGACACCCCCGCTTAGCCTCGCCCTCCATACCCAAAAAACCCATTGAACCTCAACCACTGTACCCGGAGCCCCCCTGCACCCAGACCCCCCGCCTCCAGACCCTCACCCCTGCACCCAGACCACTCCCCACTGAGCTCCCTGCACTCAAACCCCCACCTTGATGCACCACCCTGAGCCCCCACATCCAGACCCCCACATCCAGACTGACAGATGCTGAATTTCTTAGAGGCTAATTTTAATGAATTTTTAACTCACACTAATTACTGGACTTGTAAATTCTCAGAAAATCCATTCTGTGCCCCCGAAATAAACAACAATTTTGTGGAGGCTGTGTACATAAAACAGAGGATTAATTTGTACTTTAAATGCAAAATGGAACTCGGCATTAACTATGGAGCATTAACTGGTGTCTCCATAAGGGAAGAAAAATGGTCTTGTGCTTGGGTCTTGTGATTCCCTATTCTGTGCCATAAAATTCCTGTGGCTTTTGGCAAATTGTCTTAATCCCTGTCCCTCATTTTTGTCATCTGTAAAAAGGAAATCCTTAGTTTGCAACGGTTCTGGGGCTTAATTCAATTTTGAGATTTATGGGGAAGGCATTATAAGTGAAGTATTATGATGTCTGCCTGCTGCAGCCAATGGAGTTGAGAGCTTTTCAAAGAGAAGTACACAAGAACCTTTTATAATGGAAAATGTTAGGGAATCTAAATATAGGAGATGTTACTAGCGTCCCTGTTTTAAGCAAACATCCTGAACTTTCCAGATTTACAGAATAAGTCCAATGAGAATTGTAAGTTAGCTAGTTCTAGATGAGAGAAACTCAAAATGTACATATTGTTGTCTTAACAGACAGCTTACAAGATAAAATAAAGATTTTTTTTTCCAAAGGAAATCTTTATACTGTTTCAATATATGGTATGTAAGTGGTGGCAAAAGTATTGATATGTTAGCTAGAAAAATTACATAGTGTATAAATCAGAGGTGGGCCACATCCGGCCTGCGGGCCACATCCGGCCTGGCTCCTGGCCCCTCCCCTGCTGTTCCCCCTTCCCCGCAGCCTCAGTTTACTGCGCTGCCGGTGCAATGCTCTGGGTGGTGGGGCTGCAAGCTTCTGGGGCGGCATGGCTGCAGAACCATGGCCTGACCTGGTGCTCTGTGCTGCGTGGCTGCCTGTCTGTCCTGATGCAGCCGTGCCACCAGCCACTGGTGCCCCAGGCAGCGCGGTAAGGGGGCAGGGAGCAGGGTGGGATTGGATAGAGGGCAGGGGAGTTTGGGGGTGGTCGGGGCCAGGGGTGTGGATTGGGGAGTGGGGCAGTCGGAGGGTGGGGAACAGGGGGATTGAATGGGGGCAGGGGTCCCGGGGTGGGGGCAGTCAGGAAGGAGAGGAGGGGTTGGATGGGGCAATGGAGGGCAGTTACAGGCGGGGCTTCCAGGGGCAGGGGGGCAGTCAGGAGGGAGAGGGAGGTTGGATGGGGGGGGGCAGTTAGGGGCAGGGGGGTCCAGATGCGGTCAGGGGACAGAGAGCAGGGGGAACTGGGGGGTTGAATGGGGCAGGAGTCCTGGGGGAGCCATCAGGGGGCGAGAATCAGGGGGGGAGTCGAATAGGGGGCAGGGGCTGGGCCATGCCTGGCTGTTGCGGGAGGCACAGCAATTTCAGAAACGCGATGCGGCCCTCAGGCCAAACAGTTTGCCCGCCCCTGGTATAAATCAATAAAAATAAGTATGAAATAATAAAAAGATAGCAAGAATATACAATAGAATCTAAGACTGTAGAAAAATCATAAGTTATTGCATTTCAGAAGTAGTACAGTAGATTGTATAATCAATGCATACACACGGGGCAACGTTGAGATCATGTATTCAACCTTAAAGTGTGATTATACTCTGAAAAATGACTGGAGAATAGCATCACGTTACTCCATAGATCTGTTCCTATATATATCCAGAGGCATATGGCTGACCAAATGTACAAAGCCAATCAGTTACCCCTGTGTAACCTTCCTGAAGGTAATGAGTAAGGTTGCACTAATGAAACTGAGGCTTGTCAGTGTAACTTGCAATGCAGAACCTTTATGACTGGTGATGTTTAAGAAAGTGTTTTGAGTTTGCAGGATTAGTGACATCTGGTAAATTAAACAAATTTGATGTTACATGCCATTTTATCAGTCATTTTTCAGAGCAGAACTGCACTACTTTACTGCAATTTTGCCATAACCTGACTATTGAGCATTAAAATTTCTAACCGTAACAATACATTAATACTCATTTTTGGATTCTAATAGTACTTTGCACTTAGTGCCCTTTAGCAGTGTAGGTCTGAAATCCCCTGACTAAGGAGGGCAAACATTATTGTCCCTATGAGAACTACGCCTGTGGGGTAACTGAAGTATATAGATTTTCTTGTCCCAGGTCACACAGTGAGTTGCAGAACTGAGAACAGAACTCAGCTAAACTTGGTTCTAATTGTGTGGTCAATCCACTAGATTACAGCAGCCTATTTATTAACAGCTTTATAGGTTGAAATAATGGGAAATTGTGCTCTTTAACAGTTTGATATAAAAATTATTTGAAATATAAATAATCTTATTTCTCAATTATTATGTAATTTTCAGGGCCTCTGACCGCCTAATTTTTATTCCCATCGCTTTTTCTTCTCTAGTGCAGTTCTGTGCACCACTTCTGCAACATATGTAGGCTTTGATTTTTCTGTGATTGAAGAGTAAAAATTACAATATTTAGGGGAGTCCCCCCACAAGACTATAGTTAGGCTGAGACCTGGCATTCCTGCACAGATAGTGGAGTTAGGTTCTTGGAGCCTTCGGCTAAAAAGGGGGCAATGGGGTGGAAGTATGTATTAGCCTCTGCTCTTGGAGACTTAGGCTAAAAAGAAAAGGCGGGGGCAGTATGTATTTGCCTTCTCTGCTGAAATTTTGTACCACTAAACAGTGTTACCCTATAGCATTCTTTAGTGGAGTGACAAAAAGCTGCCTTCCTCTGTCTTCTCTTGAAGTGGTAAATGTTGCTGCAAATGGTGGCTACATTTTCCACGTCAACGAATTTTAAAAAAGCTAAACCATACAGCTTCAAATACAAATGTTCCTCTTCAAACCAGAAGGAACTCTGCTACTGTGCTGGCACAATGCTTCCATAAGTGGCTATTTGCTGGTAAGGTACACACTTAATTTAGTTGAAGTACATATTTTATCTTCCTGTCATTGAAAGGAGCAGCTTTATGTAGCATTTGTAAATTGACATGTCCCTGAGTATAACACATTGAACAGCTTTGGAAAAACAAAAAATGCAGAGTTTTCGGATCTCACCAGGATGAGGAATTATTTTAATAATACTCTGTATAGATTCATAGTTACAACAAATATTATATATTTTGTCATTGGTCGTAAATAACCATTTTCCAGGAATCATTTTTCCCTGTTCACTGGTAGAAAACCAGTTAAATGTGTGTAAGGCTTTGTCTATAATGAAAAGTTATATTAGCATAGCTACATCAATTAGAGGTGTGAGGGAAGAGGGCTTCCGTTGATCTAGCTAATGCCGTTCGGAGAGGTGATATTCCTACGTTGACAGAAAACCCCTTCTGTCAGGGTAGTGCTGGCATAGCTACACTGACATAACTGTGCTGATACAGTCTCTGTAGTGTATATGGCAGGAACTGCTGAGTTTTGGAATAGACAAAAACTGTCAGTATTCCTTCACTGTACTGACTGCGCTTTTTTTTTTTAATACAAAAGAGGTGTACTTCCTTAAATGTCTTAAAAGGCTTATTAAAATGTTACATCCCAAAAGGTGCAATTGTGTGTTGTGTCCACAAGATGGTGAAAACCTCTAGTTTTAAATTGTCTGAAGTCAGTGCAAACTGATCATTTACAATCTGAATTTGACACTATGGTAAGCACTTTAATTTATTTCTACAGTCCATCTGCTGACAAGGCCAAGATTAGAACAGCTCATAGGAGAATCATGATTTTGAATCACCCTGATAAAGGTACACTGTTGTTTTCATTAATATTGGGTGGAAAGAACATACTACGAGCTCCTTTCAGTTTACTTAAACTGGTTGTAGCTAGCCATTTATGTAATTCATGAAATTATGTGCTGTATATTTAGTAGTGAGACTTACAGGTAAGCTTTTATATGTTGTTGTTTTCTCTAATAAATAAAGCAGACTGATATCCAAGCTCCATATGCCATAGTAGCACTAGGTTACTCTGCTGCCTTCTGAGCTCATTTTCTAGATCAGCACTTCACTAGTTGTTAGTTTTTCAGGAGCTCTGAAGAAGGCAAAACACTAGCCATGAAGTTCCCACTTACATTACACAAAAATGCTTGAACTGGGTTTTTTCTGGCCATAAATATATGAGCACACAAGTCTCTAAGGGACAAGTGCTATAATCACTAAATATATCAGATTCTGGGTTTCTTAAACCCACCCTGGAAAACTGTAAAGCTGGGCACAGTTGCTTTAATTGGCCAGGTTTTTAATGTAAATTTATCTTACAGAAAGGCTTATTATAACTTTAACTACACTACAGCTGCTTGAGAAAGAGAGCGCCCATATGTTCATTCCTGTTTCTACTTTTCAATAACATATGGTAGAATTGCACTGTGTTTCAAAAGTCAAAAGGGGGAAGTGAAGTTTTTTATTTCTTGTTGACAGATTCACAGGATTTTGTTCCTAACAATCATAATAAAAAGATAACTGACCGCTGGCAATATAAGGTGTTGAGTAAGCACTTTTCTTTCAGCTGCCTTATCTCCTTAGATTGCTAACGGCTAAACAGTCTTGCTTAGATGTTGTCTGTCATTCTGCTTTTTAATTTGTTGTTCTGTAAAGTAGGTATACTGAAAATAGGAAAGGAATTCTCTGTTATATTTGTAATATATTATGATGGTCAGAGCTACAGTTTAGAGTACAGTATGTTAAAAGTTTTGATTAATAAACATTATCCTTTGTATTGCAGTGGCACCCAGAGATCCCCATCAGGATCTTGGTTCCTTTGGGCTGGGTGCTGTACCAACATATTAAGACAATCGCTGTTCGGAAGATGATATACACTAAAGTCTCCCACTCCCACAATTGATAGCATCTGAGCTGACAGTTGCACTTGCCTGGGGCTCTGTAGACTTCAACAGGGCATCGTGTAGACTCAGCAACCCTCCTGTGCGCTACCAATTGCAGAATTGGGGCCATAGTTCCTAATCCTGCATCTGCACAGGCAGGCCCATATACCCACTTAGAACTCCTTTGACTTCATTAGTGGCAGGGTTGAAGCCAAAGATAATACACAACTGTAGCAGATAAATGGAGTTAGTGTAAAAGGACAACAATGGAAACTGATTAAAACTACAGTTATATAGGCTAGTTATGAGAGAACTATGGGATCCGAAGACACAATTTTAAATAAATAAATCAAAATCAAATGTTTTTAGAGAAATAATATGTACAGTGAAAGCCACAAAAATTGTTGCACGGAGTATCCAAACTAAAATTACAAATTGAATTGCATGATACAAGTTTCTCTCTCATTGGAAGGCAATGAAATAGGTTGTGCACTTGATGTAAATGTAGCAAAAAACGCTTTTAGCAAATTTGACTTTATTTTGAGAGAATTCACTTTTGGCATTTAAACAGTGCATAGTTAATATTTCTCTAGCTTGTATTGCTTTTTGCAGTTATTTTATTTTTCATGCCTCTGCTCTCAAAGGGGAATAGACAAGCTATATTCAATTCAGTAATCCCCACTCCTTACTGAAACCCAATTTATCAGAAAAACTTTACATATGTATTGGTAAGCATTCTCCCCCCTCTGCCCCTCCCAACCCCCCACCCCAAACACACAAACACAACACAGCACACACTTAAAAAATATGGACTTCACTCAGTTGTTTCTGTATTAAATCTGGGAATAGGATTGCCAACTGTCTAATCACACAAATCCAAATGCCTTGCTCCGCACCTTCTCCGATGCCCCGCCCCGCTCACTCCATCCCCACTCCCTTCGTCGATCGCTCTCCCCCACCCTCACTCACTTTCAGTGGGCTGGGGCAGCAGGTTGGGGTGCAGGAGGGGGTATGGGCTCTGTGGGGTGGGGCCAAGGGGTTCAGAGTGTGGGAGGGAGCTCTGAGCTGAGCCTGGGGTGGAGGGCTGAGGTAGGGGGTTGGAGTGCAGGAGGTAGTGTGGGGTGTAGGCTCCAGCCGGGAGGCGCTTACCTCGGGCAGCTACCGGTCGGCGGCGCAGCTGGGCTAAGAGTGCCACAGGGACATGTCAGCCACTTTAGGGAGCGTTGCAGTCTTAGCCCCGCTGCCGCCACCAGACTTTCAGCACCTAAAATCTCCCAGTTCGGCTTTGGTAGCCTCCGGGAGATAGGGCATGATTCCGGGAGACTCCCAGTAGTTGGCAACCCTATCTGGGAATGAGTTTGTAGTGGTTTAGACTCCTGATCTAAAAGTCACAGTGAAGTTCTCCAGTCTTCGAAGTCCTACCTCCTTCTGTTGCCAGGCATCTAGAACTGATACTTGTCCTTTCTGTATCCTTAAATGTTGTTCATAATTTTTCATTCATAAGAACAGATGCTTAGGAAAAGGTTGTTCAGGGCACAGTGATGTTTAAACCACATTTCAGTGTACAAAGATAGAGGTTTCAGAGTAGCAGCCGTGTTAGTCTGTATCCTCAAAAAGAAAAGGAGGACTTGTGGCACCTTAGAGACTAACCAATTTATTTGAGCATAAGCTTTCATGAGCTACAGCTCACTTCATCAGATGCATACTGTGGAAAATACAGTGGGGAGATTTATATACACAGAGAACATGAAACAATGGGTGTTACCATACAGACTGTAACAAGAGTGATCAGGTAAGGTGAGCTATTACCAGCAGGTGAGCGAGGGGGAAAAATCTTTTGTAGTGATAATCAAGGTGGGCGGGCCATTTCCAGCAGTTGACAAAAACGTCTGAGGAACGGTGGGGGGAGAGGGTAGGATAAACATGGGGAAATAGTTTTATTTTGTGTAATGACACATCCACTCCCAGTCTTTATTCAAGCCTAAGTTAATTGTATCCAGTTCGCAAATTAATTCCAATTCAGCAGTCACTTGTTGGAGTCTGTTTTTGAAGTTTTTTTGTTGAAGAATTGCCACTTTTAGGTCTGTAATTGAGTGACCAAAGAGATTGAAGTGTTCTCCGACTGGTTTTTGAACGTTATAATTCTTGACGTCTGATTTGTGTCCATTTATTCTTTTACGTAGAGACTGTCCAGTTTGGCCAATGTACGCCATCCTTGCCACTGTGGATGTAGAAGCCCCCTACACCAACATTCCACACAAAGATGGACTACAAACCATCAGGAACAGCATCCCCGATAATGTCCCAGCAAACCTTGTGGCTGAACTTCATGACTTTGTCCTCACCCATAACTATTTCACGTTAGGGGACAATGTATACCTTCAAATCAGTGGCATTGCTATGGGTACCCGCATGGCCCCAGAGTATGCCAACATTTTTATGGCTGACTTAGAACAACGCTTCCTCAGCTCTCGTCCCCTAATGCCCCTACTCTACTTGCGCTACATTGATGACATCTTCATCATCTGGACCCATGGAAAAGAAGCCCTTGAGGAATTCCAGCATGATTTCAACAATTTCCATCCCACCATCAACCTGAGCCTGGACCAGTCCACACAAGAGATCCACTTCCTGGACACTACAGTGCTAATAAGCGATGGTCACATAAACACCACCCTATACCGGAAACCTGCTGACCGCTATGCCTACCTACATGCCTCCAGCTTTTATCCAGACCACACCATACAATCCATTGTCTACACCCAAGCTCTGCGATACAACCACATTTGCTCCAACCCCTCAGACAGAGACCAACACCTACAAGATCTCTATCAAGCATTCTTACAACTACAGTACCCACCTGCTGAAGTGAAGAAACAGATTGACAGAGCCAGAAGAGTACCCAGAAGTTACCTACTACAGGACAGGCCCAACAAAGAAAATAACAGAACGCCACTAGCCATCACCTTCAGCCCCCAGCTAAAACCTCTCCAACGCATCATCAAGGATCTACAACCTATCCTGAAGGACGAGCCCTCACTCTCACAGATCTTGGGAGACAGACCAGTCCTTGCTTACAGACGGCCCCCCAACCTGAAGCAAATGCTCACCAGCAGCCACACAACAGAACCACTAACCCAGGAACCTATCCTTGCAACAAAGCCTGTTGCCAACTGTGTCCACATATCTATTCAGGGGGCACCATTATAGGGCCTAATCACATCAGCCACACTATCAGAGGCTTGTTCACCTGCACATCTACCAATACGATATATGCCATCATGTGCCAGCAATGCCCCTCTGCCATGTACATTGGCCAAACTGGACAGTCTCCACGTAAAAGAATAAATGGACACAAATCAGACGTTGAGAATTATAACGTTCAAAAACCAGTCAGAGAACACTTCAGTCTCTTTGGTCACTCAATTACAGACCTAAAGGTGGCAATTCTTCAATAAAAAAAACTTCAAAACAGACTCCAACAAGAGACTGCTGAATTGGAATTAATTTGCGAACTGGATACAATTAACTTAGGCTTGAATAAAGACTGGGAGTGGATGTGTCATTACACAAAATAAAACTATTTCCCCATGTTTATCCTACACCCCCCCCCACCCCCGCTGTTCCTCAGACGTTTTTGTTAACTGCTGGAAATGGCCCACCCACCTTGATTATCACTACAAAAGATTTTTTCCCCTCCGCTCTCCTGCTGGTAATAGCTCACCTTACCTGATCACTCTTGTTACAGTCTGTATAGTAACGCCCATTGTTTCATGTTCTCTGTGTATATAAATCTCCCCACTGTATTTTCCACTGAATGCATCCAATGAAGTGAGCTGTAGCTCACAAAAGCTTATGCTCAAATAAATTTGTTAGTCTCTAAGGTGCCGCAAGTCCTCCTTTTCTTTTTAAAGATAGAGCTGTGTTCTAGTGAGTGATGATACTGATACAGACCGTATAATGTTGTTTTTGGTGACTGTAGGCAGATGGTTGACACTCAAGGGGAGAGTAAAAAAACAAACACAAGGACCACTGAACTGTAATCAGATTGTTAGATGGAGCATAAAGCAATGACACTGTTCAGGACCAGAAGTTAGAAGGAGTACTGTGTTTAAATAGCTTTAATGTGACATCTTTTGGCTGGTATTTCTCTGTCTCTGAATCTAGAATGGAATAGGCTTGGTGTATGTTCTTAATGATTCTGTATCAAAAATTGGCTTATAACATTTTTGCCTCTGATGATTTCCTGGGGGGAAAAAATCCTAGCTGTTCTCATTAGATGATCTGTTCAGGGTAGCTGACCTTGCTTAACAGGTGCAGGAACAATGCATTCAGTCTAAATACTAAGATGATTTGAGAGAATAATTTTAGACTGTTCATGAAGACTTCACTTTGATAGGAGAGTGCTGCTCTGCATTATTTTTCACAGTGATTAAGATTTTATTGCATGTTTGTTCTGTTTACTTATCCACTGGTTTAATTTATCTCTGACATTTTCACGTAAGCTTATGAATGATTTTTTTGGAGAGGGAGGAAACTAATAAACCACATCACCAATAATTTAAGGGATGCTCTAAGTTAAATGTTTTTTGTATTTCATACTGATATAAATCTATTTTTCTCCCTTTTTTTCAGGTGGATCTCCATACTTAGCAACAAAAATAAATGAAGCAAAAGATTTGTTAGAATCCAGCACCAAAAATTAATGTCCAAGGACTTCTGTGATAGAACTTTTTATATATTCCTTTCTACTGGAAATCCTGTAGATATATTGTGCAATAGCTGCGTGCTGCTCTATATAGTTGCATAACACTGGATCAAATATTCAGTTATCTATCTTCATTATTAAAGATCTAAGACTATTTAAAAAGCAAACTGATACATTTTACAATAAGTCTCATTTCTAGTATTTTTTTCCCCCTCAATCTGTTTTGACTCTTTGGAAGCATTGAAGCTGGTTCTTCATTGACTGTTCTTTAAAAATGGTTTATTACAGGTTTGTGCAATAGGGCTGGACTTCTGGAACTTATTTTTTTAAAATGGAAACATTTGTCTGTATTATAATATAGGCTTTATTTATATATTTATTTATTGATAATGGTGATACTGTATAGCGCTGTCACTTGAAGTGGCTCTAGAAGGTAAAACTGAAAGGCTTGCCACATGTTGGATTCCTTTCTTTTGATGTGCAGCATAGATGCCATTTCAAAGTTGCTGGTTGGGACGAAATGACTTGAAGATTACGCCAAAATGCTGGTTTCCTTATCTCTGTATTTGAGGGACGTAGAAGTGTAAAGGAGAATATCGGCCTGATTTTTAAAAATTTTTTTTTTTAAGGTGCTTAGACCTTTTCCATGTTAAGACCGCTTTGAGAAAGATAGCTTTCCTTAAACTCACTGTCTGTTTATGCCTCACTGCACTGCTGGCCTTTGGGAAAACCAGTGCCACAACTCCCTTTGTGAGGACTCGAGATCAGTTTACAAATATATGGGGCAGTGGCATTCAAGATTCATTCATGGTACTAGTGTGACTGTAGGTTCCCCCTCAATCAGCTGCCTGCAACCAAGCTAACTCTTCTGAGTAGCCCGCGTTACCTCTTCCCACAAGGAGGAGCAACAGAATTCCATGAGACGTCATCCTAGAAGATTAAGAACAGGAGATTCCTGTTTTCTAATTCAGCACTGACTAGCATCCCTTTTGTGACCATGGTCAACTTATTTAATTGTTATGCCTTAGTTTCTCTATAAAATACTAGCCAGAGGGAAGAGAGTTGGGACAGTTACTGTTGGTAACATGTAATGTGGTAACATTCAGTAGAATACAGAGTGCCTAATGGCCCCTTGGTATCCATCTTACTTGGACAGTTTGTTCCTGGGAGAACTCTTGGTTTTTGTTTTTGTTTTTTTTTAAATATTGGCAGCTGGCCACAACCCTCCACAGCTGGGCTCCACTTCTGTAACTAGAGGCTCTGGGGTGTCTTGTCTTCCCATTCTTACCTAGATACACACACTTTGTGTTAAAATGTGTCAATTAAGCAGAACACAGCCCCATTATACTAATCTTCCTCAAAATCCTTAGATTAGTCCTCTATGTAGCACAGTGATCATGGTTAATAGGAGTCTGATGATGGGGAAGAGTGTGAAACTGTTTTGCCAGCCCACCCAAAAAAATGCTAAGGCCAGCTTTGAAAGAAACCTTGAAGGTTAGGTCATCTAGTCATGCTTCCTGCCAGTCACAGATGCAGGATGTGTACGAGACTGCATGGATTAACTTAGATCAATGTGATGAAAATCATGATTTAAATCACCAAGTCAAAAGCCTCAATTTAAATAATCGATTTTAATAATTTTTCCATTTCTACTTGTTTTCTAAAGAGAGGTGCATTTTTATTGGTTGGTATAACGATTAAAACATGTTGATTTACAAATTAATGGAACCTTTATACTAAATTTGGTGCATCTTTTTCTACGTGCAAACACAGTGTAACAATGTACATTTATTTAAGCAATTATATAGCTTAATATTTGCAGTTTCTTATTAACTTCATTTTTAGTATGTCAGAAAATGGTGAATGATATGATATATTGCTTTTGTACGAGATGATTAACTTTTGGTCATTTTGGGTCGAGCTGAATTAGGACGGTAACTGAAATTTAATTAAACACAAAATAGCTATAACATTTATTTTTATTAAACAAAACAACCTTAAATGTTTTGGCTCCATAAACTTCTCTTATCAAAACATATTTCACATTTACAGCTAAATTATAATAAGTTTAGGCCCTAACATATTTTGTATTGCATTCAGATTTCATTTTAAACAGGCTTATTTTTTTAAACATTAAATAACTAAAAAATCCAATTAAATCAAAAGATTTTTTTTTATTTTTATCCACATTTCTGTGAGATTGTGGGTCACATGATACATTTAAAATTAGAATAGATAAAGCACTGAAGATCATATTGAAGGGGAGACTCCTGCTCTGGCGTGGACATAGACTATATAACTAATAGGCTTCCGCCATCTGACTGGTTTTCTAATGCAAGATGAAAGCAGACCAGGAAATCTATTACATTTTTAAAGCAACGTGCCTGTACTTCAGTGAGTCCTTAACAGTGTCGCTTTTGAAAAAGAATAGTAGCAATTTCAAATAGACTTAAGATTAGCTGTACCTTTCACTGATCTAGTGTGCATTAGGAAAAAAAATGGTCAAAGTTTTCTGTCCCTGATTTTTATAGATCGAATCTGTAATTGATCTGGACCATTGCCCAAAAGCAAAACTGCTCTGCATGGTAGACAGCAAAAGTATTCCCTCTAATGATTTTATGAGCTGACTAGCTATTGTTCCCACATGAGAGCTTTTTTTCTTGTTGCTGAGCGAAAATTTTTATAAAAAACTCATATTTTAAAAATATCAATTGAAACAAATATAATAACTGTTAATTTTGCTCTGTTCTTAATTAAGTTCTCAGGGCTTTCCAAGAAATAAGTTTTTTTTTTCTCCCAGATTATAGTTGTTTATTTTATTTCAAGTGACTTGAATCTTTCCTACCAGATCCGCTGCCTGTACCAAATTGCTTTCCAGGCAGCATGTGTGTCATGTCATATTGATTTTTTTTCTCTCCACATTTTCTTCTTCTTAGTTCAGTTGTTCTGTTTTCTTTGTAATAGCTCCCACCTGTCCCATTTGAGACTTGTCTCCCCAACTCATTCAGCCAGGCATAAGTCTGACTGTCACTGGGGTCTCACTGAAATCTGTTGGGTCCAATGAAATGTGGGACTTGACAGATATAGAGTAGCATGAGCATCATCATTGTGTGCTCTGGCGCATGTGTAGCAGCACAAGCTGGTCAACAACTCTGCACATGTGGGTGAGCAGTAGAAGAAAACTAAAGCTGATATTTTGTCTATTAAATCATATTTGGAAGTAAAAAAGCAGGGGAGTGAAATGAAATAACAATTGAGTCTGTCAGACTTAGCTCGTGATTTCCTAGCTTTGATCAGTGCATCAAGACATGTAGGTATTTTTTCCTTAAAATTAAACACGTACAAACAAACTTTCAAAAAACGAGTGAAATCATGTAAAATTATCTTGAATTCTAAAGGAACCATCTGGTCTATCAAGCAGATGCTATATATACTGTCTAACCTAACAGTAAGCGCATGGGAAATAGTATTGGCTTAACTTTTCTGTATATGTGTATGTCATCCCAAGTTTTGAGCTCTCTGGGGCCTGGAAGGTCTTTGTAGTGTGCTTGTACAGCTCCTAATATGCTGAAGCTTGTTTGGGGTCCTTAGGCTCTGTTGAAACAGAAATAAGTAGATACATTGTTTTACAATACATGCCCTTCAAATTACTATTTTATAATAGTGGAACTATGTACTCTCAAAGGGCCATATCCTGCCATGAGCAAAACTCACTAGCAAGAAAAATGTATGAAGAGCCTCCTCCATTAAAGCACTGAGCCCCCATTTATTTAAGAGAATATGACTTGCCAGTCTCTGCACTTGCTTGTCTGCCTGGTCTTCGCTACAATTCCCAGGACACTCTTCTGGAACTTGGCAATCTTCTTAGCAATTGGTTCTGCTGACTTAGTACATTTCAGGAACGGATTCTGAGTGTCTCCTGGGAGATCCTGAACATTTGCAGGTCTTCCTAAGCTCAGTGGGATTTGAGAATGGTGACCACCTCACACAGTTGAAGTCCTTAGGGAGAAAAAAGTGCATATCTGAATTGGTTATTTGGTTTGTTTTTGCCTAACTTGGTGTCTTTATGTATATTTGAGGGCAACTGGAGGATTAACAAATCCTCAGTCTCTTAAGTGTTCATCTTTTGATTACCTTAACCAAATTGCTTACGAAAAAGTTTATGATCAAGTGCTTGGTAATAACTTAAACTTCTCATAATTGTATTCATAATACACTCTTTAGGATGATGACCACTTTTATCAGATTTTTTGGTGTGTGCAGTAGCTTTTTTCTCCTTGTGTCTTCAGTACATGCAGAAAGGTGGGTTTTTTTTCCTCTTTTTGTTGGCAAGCAGCAGAATAGACTGGCACCCGTTTTGCCCACTGCAGCCTCCAGAACTTCCAGTTTGAATAGAGATTAAATTAACATTGCTGTTTTTGGCTTCACAACAAAAGCATTGGCTTGTATAGTGCTGAGACGTCTTTGTTTGTGAATCGGCATAATCAATGATGTCAGTACAACCATGAGACTTGTGTTTTCTTGTTTAACTGTTGCAGTCAACCAACAAAATACATAAGCACATGACTTCTTAGGATCCCATAAAGAGTTTGTTTGGTTTGTAACATTTATTATATAGTACTGGAATTCATAAAACAAAAACCCAACAGAAATTTAGAATCCAAATAGGCTTTCTAAAGCAGATAATTACAGTTTAAAAGGAAGTAAAACTTCCACTTTGAAATGTGTGCTTGCAATTTCACAAACACCTCCCCTTGTGCCCTTGCCAAAAAATAAACAAAATCCTAGTTAAAAGTTCCACTTTAATTATTTTCATTTAAACTTAAACTGAGAAGTCATTTGGAGATTACTGGAATTCAATTTTTTTCTTAAATAATTTAATGGTCTTGGACCAATATCTTTAAACCAAGTTACTGTTCAAAACAAATGTTTACAGGATAGTTAAAAGCACACTCTATATTTAAATTGATTAATAAGCATTGCAGTATTACTACTTCCTTCAATTTGGGGCAATACATACCAATGTTTTAGAATGAGAAAATACTGTTTTGATATTAGTATTATCAAATATACTGAGCATTATGTATGGTACAGATAGTAGTTGGTGTATAACCTCCTATGACAGTAAATTATCGTTATTGTACTATTATATTTCCTGATTCCTATTTATACTAATTCATACAAGGAGGGGATTGTGTTTTTTTTTAAATATTACAAATATTACATGTAAAACTCTTTTTTAACCGGTGTCAAAGCATCTCTCACAGGATAGTTTTGTGGTGTTAAAATATTGTATAAAGCCTGGCTTTGGAAGTACGGACTTCCACCAGTTCATGGAATTTATTCATGAGCCTTCAGTGTTATGTATGTATCTGCAATTGTGCAAATAGCAACTTATTGTGAAAAATATGAGTCTACACAGTATTACAATGACTATAATCAGAAATATAAAGGGAAATCCAATGTTAAAAATAGATGGCTGGCATAAAAACAGCAGAACATGCTTTCCTGGGAAAACAATCTGTAGAGTATGTGTGGGGAGGGTGGTTTATTATTATTTATTATTTTAAGTCATACGCTGTAATGTTCAAGGCTACAGTTGAATATGAAATCCTGTTCTAAATAGCCTTGACTATTCAAAGAAAAGCACAGTAGCTAAGATTTGGTGGACTGGTGCAATAATACATTAGTGTATTAGAACCAGTGCTCCAGAGGATTCTGAGTCAAGCCTTGGAGTCAGTGGTCAGGTCAATACTTTGTTCTCAGTGTTGAGTCGTGAGGGGTTTTTCTTGGCTCAGGTTGTACCAAGAAGAGGAAAATCTGGCTTGTAAAGCTGCCCTTGACCTAAAATAAACAGAAATCTCTGTTGGAACCATGAGCACCTAGTTAGTGGAGTTCAGCAGCAGGCCAGCCAGTAATTGTTTAGTGCTTCCCTCACTGGCGTCAATGAGAATTACTGTAGTATAAATTGCTTTAGGGGACAAATTGATCAACTAAGGGAGGTTTAAAGGTTTGAGTGTTTTAGGTTACTGACAGCAATTCAGGTTTCGGAATTAAGTGATTGAATACAATGGTCATAGTTAGATTTTCTTTAGCCACAATAGGGGGAGAAACAATGGGATTTCCCATTTTATCAGGCTTTAAAATGAAAGCTTTCAAGTGTTTGTACTGATCTCAATATATTATTTAACCCCCAATTGACATTGTTCTCCACAGCACATAAATACCATTTCAACAGGGGCCTTAAAAATATGTGAGAGCCCAGTTGCTAAATGCCGGTATAACATCTACACCTTGCTTACGTGCTCAGTTGGACTCTTCGTACATTTATTTTACACAATTAAGTTTTCCCCTGTACAGTAAGTCACTTTAGGTCTTGCACTCCACCCACTTCATTAAGAACACAATCCTGCAGATGTTACTGGGACTCCTGCCTTCACTTCAAGCTATATTCTCACATACAGTATTAATGTGCTTCATGTCCAAGATCTCTCAGTGCAGCTGCTATACTTATAATCTTATGAGACGCCTTCTGTTTCAGAAAATGCACCAAAATGGTTTTAGCTACCCCAACTTTTTTGGACAGAATAATAAAAATGATTGTTATTGCAACTACAGCAGAAATGGTTGTATGTAGGTCTGTTCATTAATGAAAACTCAAATATAACATGAAGTTTTTCACTAAAAGTATACTATTATGTATTAAAGCGTGGTTCTAT